TACTAAAAATCATTACATATGTAATCAGTCTTAGTACATTTACTTTTTAACTATACTGTTTAGCTAAGTCTGTTTTAGTTTTTTATTCTTGTGGTCACTTTATAGATATTTCTAGGTCAACTTGTCCTGATCTCTTATTAGCTATTCTGACTACTATTTCTGGACTAACATTTATACAACTAACCTCTACCAGCTACTACTGGATTGGTTAAGAGTTAGGTTCAATATGCTAACAGTCAGAGCTAATTAAATGTTGTTCTAAGATCGGAGCTACTTTTAGAATAACTTTTCAATTTATTGATTTATTATAAATTTAGGAACTTTTTTTTAATCTGTTTAAAATGTTTCACTCAAAATATCTACTATGTAAAATGTACACGTAAAAAAGCAATTACAATTAATTCTTAAGTTTAATAATAAATTACCTAATTTGAACTCACAACAAACAGGTTTAAACCAACCAGTGGAGTGACTATTTCCCTCAAGCTTAAATATGAAGATTTGTTAACCAAATATGGCGGAAAAAAACCAGGATGAGGCGAAGAGCCGGAACCGCAGCGGGAAAAAAAAGCTCTACTGCGTGTCAGACACACCACAGGGGACAAGAAGCCCGATTGAAAGCAGGACAGAAGCCAGCACAGAGGGTCTTGGTCCTGATTGGTCATGTTCCGGGTCCAGCTTAGACCCACATACAAGCAGACCCACAAACCCCTTCATGTTTCTGAGCGGCACAATGGCAGCATTATAAGAGGAAGGAGCAGAGTGTATGGGCCCCTACTGTTCCCCCACCAGGACCACCACAAATACCCCCTGGCAATTTACAGCAAAGATTCTTGCTGAAAGACTAAGTGGCCACAGAGTGAAGTAGTGCATCTGCTGACAGGCCACTTCCTGCTGCATCTACTCTGTTATCAACTAAAAAAAACAAACAACACAGTACGTGATATATACTTGATATGAATCAGAACCCTGTAACACATGACTTCAGACTCTACATGTCACTGTGCCTGTTATGTCACAGCCAAGAAGAGCAGTCTGTGAAGTCACAAGTTGCCACAAAGGCCCAGATCGTATCAGCATATCTGACAGAGAGAGAGAGAGAGAGAGAGATCTAGAAGGTACGGTGAGAGGTGCTTGTTCTTATCCACAGAGAGAAACTAGGCCAGTTTTACTTCATGGCCAACGTGCATGTCTCGGCCTGCAGCTACAACTGCGTGGTTTCATTTCATTTAGGTGAAAAGACGAGGCAGAAACATGTTCTGACACACAGTCTGATGTGCCTGCTGCTCAACATTGGAGTTTCTGCCTTTAAACAACTTTCTCCAGTTAATTCACAAAACAATTCAAAGTCATGTCCAAGGATGGGAATCGCTCAAGTCCAGTCTGTTCAGCATTTGAAGAAACGGCAGTAATTTTCCTTTAGGCTGATGACTGATGGAGTCACAGCGTCTCTGATTCATTCATGTTGTTTGAATAGAGTGACAGTCGTCCACATTCAAGTGTGACAGACCCTTCTAATGCCGAGTGGAAGACACTTTGTCTTTTGTCATTTTAGAAGTGGAAACGAGCCAGGGCTTGATCACAGTTCCTGCCCACTCACACCTATATACGTAACTGTATGAAGGGACGGACCTGACCTCCAGAATCCTGAAAGTAGACTTCAGTCTTTGTTTAAAAGCTTTATAAAAATTACTGATGTAAAAACATTATCTTCAGTAATTAGGTGTCAAACACTTCTTCTGATTTTTATAATATCCTTTTAGTAAGACTCTGTTCTAAATTTGCAGGACTTTTGGTAGGCTTGTTGTGAGTTTTTTAAACTTTGTGGACTAATGTTGGCATCTATTCACCGATGTTTGAATTAATGAATTCATTTTGGTGAACTTCTGGCTATTCTTCATTTACATGTGTTAACTTCAACTCGATCTGTGCCCTGATAGTTTTGCTGTCTTACAGCTAACCTTTGGTTATTGTTTTTCTGAGTCAAATTGAATTTTAGTTATCTGATACACTGAAAGAATCAGTAATGACTTTAATAACAGCCTTCATTGTATACTGAATGCATCTGTCAAAATGCAGTGCAACTGGTTCCATATATAATCATTTATACACTGCGTCTGTGTCAGTATGGAATTTCCACGAAAAAAACAAATATACTATGCAAATGATTTGCAAATGATTGAAAAACAGACAGAACGAGTCTGAAGCTCACAAACAGGAAGACAGACTCCACCTGAGTTACTCAGCAGGAGGAGGATTAATAAATCCTTCAAAGATGTGATTCAATCAAAACTACGGCTACTGTCTGTGAGACAGAGGGGAAAACCAGCCTTAGCCAAGGCGGACATTCACAGACAGACACACGTAAGAGCAGAACATCACAGAGAATGTTGATTACACACAAGAAAATCCTGGAGCCAAAAGGCGGACTACTGAGGAAATTAAATCAACAGAGAAACACACGTACACATTTTCCCAAACTTTCCCAGAGAAAGCATAATGTTATAGTCAGAAAAAGCCTTAGAGTGAAACAATATGATGAGTCATTATCTCATGGCTGATATGTTACAAAATGAATTCATAAACACTTTAGACGGTGCTCAATATTATCAATGTTACAACCTGGCCAAGGATGAACTGAGAATATGTGGGAGCACAGATGGATAAAAGTGATGATCTGGGTTAGAGACCACTGTTACTGATTGTTGAGATGACTAAACTTATTATGGCTGCTCTCTAAACAAAATATTTGATCTGATTCTGTGAATCACTGGATCTACAATTCACTGTTTGAGGACAGCAAACACGTCCCGTCCCCATAAATCTACCTGGGTTGAACTATGTCCAAAAACCAGGAGCACTAAATAAATGCGGTGTGAAACAGTGCTAAGGGACAGAGTTTTCACTGAGAGCAGACAGGTGACCTGGTGAGGACACTTACCAATGAAGGGAATTGAGGCCAGAGAATCATCTTCGATAGGAAGTGGAGCGAGGTTACCGTTCGGCTTGTGTGGAGCTACATCTTCAGTGGAAACAAGAGCTGAGGCAGAATCCTGGGGATCAAAAGCAAATAAGGAGGGTTCTAGCCCATCCATGGCCAGTGCATAGTGAGGGTGACGCATGTTATGTGCGTTTCTTCGACCCGTTGGAGGTTTTTGCCTCAAAACCACTTCTTGCGCCTGTGGCGCCACCTCTGTCTGCCCCTCTCCTGAAAGTCGTTCCCTCTCGTGGTTCGTTGGCCTGTATGATCTATCCTGGGAGTCGGGCGTGGAGGAGGCAAGTGGAGATGCCGTGGAGGTGGTTAAGGGGGCAGCTGTGCCCTCTGGAGGGCTGGTTTTAGGAGTTGGGTTCCAGTTCAAATGAGGGCCAGAGTATGAAGGGTCCCTGAAAGAGTGGGCTTGCTGTAAAATTCGTCCTGTTTTACGGTAAAATGATGGGCTGTAGCTCCGGTAGCCCACGGGCTGGTCATCCATGCTTTGTCCTTGGGGGAGTCTCCTGTTCTGAGGAGCAGGCTGCTGGACCTGCGGTTGTGACTGGACCTGGGTGTGTGACTGTGTGTTAGACTGTGAGTGGTGTTTAGAATGGGACTGTGTGTGTCGAGGCATTACTGGAGCTTGTGTTACACTATGATGACCCCCTTGTCTTGGGTAGGCATCGGTCCGAGGGGGTGGCTTTGGGGCCTGTTGGTGCCACGAGGGCCTTTCAAACCGGGGTCCTGCTGCTGCTCGGTCCAGCATCTCTAATGAGCGGCCGTGACGATCGTACTGAGCCAGAAGGTTTTCAGAGCGAGTTCTAGTGTAGCTAGAATGGTGGCCCTGACCTGGATCTTCATCCCAATCTCCATAAGACCAGTATGGCTCTCCATGGGGTCCTGGTCCGGACTGCTGTAGTAACAGAAGAGTGTCCTGGGAGGCACTGTGTGGCCAGCCACCAGTCCGCTGCTGCTGCCTCCGGTCACTGAGTCGGTCCTGAGAGTAGCTGCGGTGCCGGGTCTGCATGGACCGCCCTGAATGCTCGGGCTGCTGGCTGTAGTACCAGTCAGAGAGGGCCTGTTGACAACGCTCATTGCGGCTGTGGCTGAGCTGGGGCAGGGGAGGACTGGTCCAGGCCGAGCTGGACTTTCGTGGCTTGGCCTGAGGCGGGCTGACAGCATGGTGGTTGGGGTAGTGGACTTGTAAAGGGCTGGACAAGGGGCCTCCCGACGAGGAAGAGGAAGAGTAGGAGCGACCCCTGCTCTGACCCTGAGCCTGTTTGCTAGTCATGCCATACTGGATCTCCTCTGTGCGGTGAGCAGGGCTGGTATGACCCACACCTCCGGGTTCTCCCGCCCGCCCCTCCTGCCAGCTGGCGGGGCTGCCCACAGAAGAGTGGTTATCCAGGGGTGAAGAAGGGCTGGAAGAGCCTGGCCAGCGACTCCAGTTATCCAGCTGGTTCTGGCCCAGGCCCGCTGAAAGGGGCGTTCCGGAGGGAGGCACAGTCTTCGTGCGTGGGTAGCAGGTAGGGGGTGGTGGTGGGAGGTTCTCAGCTCCCCCTGCGTATGGTTCGTTGCCACTCAGGTAGGCATCTTGGGAGTACGCCTTGAAAAAAGAAGATATAAAGTTACAAGACTGAACAGTGACATAAAACAAACTTTGACCCTAAGAGTTTTAAACCAGCAAAAGACTTCTGGGATGTTCTGTGCATCGTTACGCAACTTAAGGTTAACAACCAGGAAGCTACCGTAAAAAACTTATGGTGCATATGATTTTATTAGGTAATTCTAACTCCAACATGAAGGAATAGGTGAATTACTGAACCATATCTAACCAAGTAAAACTGAGTGGTGCAAAAAAGTTTCCTCACAATCAAAAACCCTCACCAACGTGACGATCTTGATCATTTCATCGTGATAAAAGACACATTCCTAGGCCTCAACCTTCACCCGAAACATTGCTTTTGCAACAGTTCAGTTCCGGTCTTTAGCTCTTTACACAAACACAGGTTAACTCGTCAGACATTTGCCAGAAGTGCCTGGAGCAAAAGCCTCTATAGACTCAGCTCAGCCACCTGTTAAAAACATATGTCTCAACATTTTGTCCGTGTAGATTTTACAGTTTACACAGTTTGTTGTTCTGTGATTCTTGATTGAAAACGCACATTTTTGCAAACAAAAATGGAAAAAATTGATGAGACACAATTACATCAGTATTACATAACAACAGGAGAACAAGCGCACACATTACACACACACTCTTGTTTGGACTTCAACAACAGACAACAAAGTTAATTAAGAGCAAATTAGGCTGATCACACATTTACCTGACTGATCTACACAGTGCAGCAGAGTCCAAAACCTGCCCCCAGCCTGCGTGTTCAACTTGTGTTCACCAAAAACAGACAACGAAGAGGAGGAGGCAGAGGACAGGACAGGAGACTGGGTCTTACCACTACTCCTGACAGGACACTCCTGCTGCTTAAAACCTCCTTCAGATACGATACCTCCTCCGCCTCAGCGACAAACTAATTCTGCTGCATTTTCCCCTTTGATTTCTTTCAGGTGTTTTCTATCTGTTAATCCTCTTGTTTTTCTCCTTCTCTCCGATCCTTGCAAACTCCCTCTCTCCTCCCTCCGACTCGCTGTCTCACTCCACCCTGTGGGAGTGTGAAAGGAGGTGCAGCTCTGGTGATGTCATGTCAGGAATGCAGCAGATACAGTGGCAGCAGTGGTGGGAGGAGAGTGAGGACGGAGGAGTGGGTCTGTCATGTTAAGGCATTAGCGGGTAGCTTGGAGTAGTCCCAGTTATCAATGATGTTTCAGCATGTGTGTGTGTCTGTGTGTGTGTGTACGCGTGGTTATCAACTGAGTCTGGAAATCTGCTTTTAACGTGTTGCTCATGGTTAGTGGGAGGGGCCAGCTAGGTTGCATGTCTGATCATGTGATGGAGCGTGAAGCAACTTGTGGAGCGTCAAAGATGTGTTGAACAGTACATGGGTGTGTGAGCATACGCCGAGCAAAGACTTTTTTTTCTCCAACAAAAGCTGCAGTCGGTAACAGTCAGGTACCAGTGGCTGTAAATGACTGTGTTGTAATATGAACACAGAGTAGAGATGATTGTGAGTCATTCTTATGCCATCCTTTCAAAAGCTCTGCATTCCTGTACAATGACATGTTGACTCCTAGTTCAACTGTGCAAACTAGAAACATAGACTACCATGTCTCCCTAAAGTTTGTAAAAAAAAAAAGGAAGAAAAAAACTAACCGGGAGGCTTGCTGATATTTCACAGACTCTGGTGTTTTAAAAAAAATATGTTAAAAAGTCACGATTTATACTTACCAACTGAAGAACATCCTCATCCTTTGGCATAATGGAGAGCTCCAGCACACTCTCACTGAAGGGAGGAGGAGGGGAATCAAGTAAGCAGGCAAAAGAGATAGAAAAAAAAAACAATCAGTGTTAGAAGAAAAGATATTTGAGCTGGAATAATTCATGTCAATTCTATAAATATTTGTTTTAATTTAATTTGAATATTTAATTCAACCGATGATGTGTTGATGAACTGGCATTCGTTGGTCATCACTAAATGACCTTTCAGCACCATAGCTTTTACTGATCAGATTATTGTAGTGCTTAGAGACAAAGGTGGTACTGGTTCTGATCATATCTGCAGATGCTGCTACTCATACATGATTGATCCTGTTGACAAAGGCCCTAGAAAAAAGAAATCCAATAATTGTATCACAGTCAGACGTTTGGATAAAGGCTGTGAAAAATGGGATTTTCCACATTTAACACAGCACACAACTGGAGGCGCTTTCTTTTTCAAAGCATCTAAAACTAAGACCAATACGGCATGTACAGTGAGTCTACAAGGAAAAAAAAGCAAACACAACTTTTCAGTAAATCAACACGCCAAAGCCTCAAAGCGTTGACAGGCAGAAGGTTTTACCTGTTCTGAATGAGGGCGATCACCTGCGAGTACGTCTTCCCTAAAATGCTCTCCCCGTTTACCTTCACCAGTCGATCCCCTGAGTAAAACAAACATGTTGGGTTAAAGGCTCAACTCTGTCGTCTGATTCAGGTGTAAAACTAGGGTTTGGCAGAAATGATGTCTATAAATAAATAAAACTGAGCAAGGAAAGTTAAAATCATAAATACATTTTAAAAAAGGAAAAATGGAAACATTTTTAATTAGGAACTGACAGGCTGCACAAAACTTGTCCTAGACAGTGATGGTCTGGTGGTTAGGGAAGCAGACCTGTGACCAGGAGGTCAGAGGTTTGACAACTGCTTTAAAGTAAGGGTCATTTGGCACTGGCCAAAAAATTTAAAAAAACATATTTGAATTAAATAATTTAAAAAGAAATGACTTCTAACATTTCCAACCCTATTGGTCAAGGCTCAGCCTTGTAGTGAGTTTTACTCTCATGTACTTTGTACTCTTTCAATATTACATTTTGTTTTTCATCTACGAAAATATTGTCTTACATAAAACTGGTTTGTGGCTCTGAAGTGTTACATCGACAAACTCCCACGCTTTCGACACTGAGCTTAATGAACAGTATGAAAACTATGAAGTATATTTATCACACCCAGCTCCTGTGCTGTCACCTTGGCTTATCATTTAGTGCAGTGCAGCCCAAAGAGAGGCACCAAGGTGTAAAAAAAAACTACAGAGTGTGTGCAGCCAAGGTGAAATTATGCAAGCTGAAACACATTCAAAAAGGCCCCGAGTGCATGTTTGCATGTGAGCTTGTCTTAGAGCAGGATCAGTGTTGGTTTGGTTTGTCTGAGCTGGAACAGGTGAAACACAGCCAGAGAGAGAGAAGCTGTGACACAACAACAGAACTACCATCTCAGAACAGTAGATTTAGACTATCACACTCTACATCATCATTAATAGAAGCAACAGGACAGTCCGTTTCACTAATGCTCCATCACATGACCCAAGCTCCTGCTAAATGATTTTCTATGGCAATCCGGATGTTGGTGCTTTTACATCATATGTTCTTTTTACCTGTGCACAAGCCCGCCTGGTGAGCCGGACCTTTTTCCCTCACATTTTTCACAAAAATGGTGTCCATGGGTTCCAGGCGGTCTTTCTGGTACCCTGAATGATAAAAATGTATTTTTACAAATTTAGCCTAAATTAAAAAAAAAATCAAAGCATGTGTTTCAATGAGTCTTTCAGGATTCACTCTCCTCATAAGTAATGTAATGAACAGTAATTACAGGTTGTATGAATGGATTCACTTAAAAAGCAATGCCGCATAACAGCCTGTAGGTGGCGTAAAGAAGCTGCAGAACAGTGGTGACAGGAGGAAGTACTGAGGATGCCAATTCTTTTTTTTTTTTTTCTTTTCTTGCACAGTTCAGTTCAGTCCAGTTGAGCTTAGTGAAAGTCTACAAGAACAAGTGTGACAATTGACACTCACCCTTTCCATTACCGTTCTCCTCATCCTGGAAAAGACACAGAGATGGGGAGACTGAGTTTAATTCAAGTAGATGAACAAACACATTGTTTGACATACTGTAACAAAACGAAATCAAACGCAGAGGCAGAATCCAAACTCAGGCAACTGAGTTCTCACTCAAAGGAATTTAATCAAATGTGACAGATCCAGGTAAACCATTCAGCACCAAAAATGAGTAAATGAGAAATGTCTCAGAGGATGAAAAAAATCGTTGGGGTTTGTTTTAAAAGTATTTATTATAATTTGCTTTATACTTTGACTTTTAATTAAAAATCCTGACTAGATAACTATTAAATTATCCACAATCATCTGTAACTTTTTACTTCTGTTAAACAAGACAAATAGTAAATAATGGTCTTAGGTATATTTAATCTTCCTATCGGTTGTTACCTTTTAATTTTTTAAAAAATTCTATTTAAAATCAAAATTTTCCTCAAATATAATTTTTATTTATTAAATCTCTTTAAGTCTCTGAGAGTGGTGTCGTTTTTTTTTTATTGTTTTTTACTGAATTTCATTGAAATCCCTCGTGGTTGCAGCACTATTACACACGCAATCGCAAGGATGAGGGCAGACCCAGCTGAGTGGACAGTTTGGGGTCAGGGGCACGCTGGGCCGACTGCTGTCTGGCTTTAGTGAGCGCTGAGTGGGCTCATTCCAGTTTCTGCAGACAATGGTGGAGGGTTTAGATGTAGAGAAAGGAGAGCAGTCCACCTAACATGGAGCTGGTAAGTGGACCGCTCTCGCTCACTGACTAACCATCTAAGGTTTCCACACATCCAGGATGCAGCAGTAGGTACAAGAACACCACATGGGCTACATACCACAGAAGTTTCTGCTGCCAGTACACCACAATGGTAAATTTGGGCAGCACCCACAAAGTCGCTTCAGAAAAGAGTAGGCAACTATGAGGCTGTCCAAAAACTGGTGTCCTAACACCATGTGATCATGACCCCGGGACAGAACCCATTGTCCTGACCCGTCCTGGTACGGCCCAAGTGCTAGCCAGTGACACCAGGACAACACAACGGATCTGTGTTCCTGGCTGCAGCTGCTGGACTGCTGGGTGGTAGCAGAACTATAATAGAGGCCTTGTTTTGGCTGGCTCTCCCCATTCCAACCTCCATATCCTTCAATTTAACATCTGGAGCCGTTTGTCACCCCCCCATTCCTCAAACAGCTAAATAACCAAGGATTAACTGAACCCTGTTTCAGAACAACAGAGCAATTTAAATTCACCTGGACTAAAAACAACTAGTGAGTCACTGAGGAGAGACTGGATTTAAACTAGTCTCTCTGTGCATGATGCAAGAATTTCTGAATTTCAGAAATGCACTAAAATGCAAGATTATGTCCTAAAACATGCTGCCAAGTGAATATTTTGTGTTTAAAAGTCCAAAAAGTATTTTATATGAATATTTCAAAAATCACCCAAAACATGCCTTACTATAGCCTTACCATCCTGAAAATATCCATAAAAATAAAAAGTCCCCGAAATGCACTAAAATGCAAGATTATGTCCTAAAACATGCTGCCAAGTGAATATTTTGTGTTTAAAAGTCCAAAAAGTATTTTATATGAATATTTCAAAAATCACCCAAAACATGCCTTACTATAGCCTTACCATCGTGAAAATATCCATAAAAATAAAGTCACAGAAATGCCTCAAAATGCAAGACTAGGCCCTAAAACATGCTCCAAGTGAATATTTTGTGTTTAAAAGTCCAAAAAGTATTACGAATATTTGAAAAACCACCCAAAACTTTGTCCTTATATGAAGTTCCCTTGAAATCTTCGCTTTAGGGACTCGCCCCTTGCTCCCTTGCTAAAATATTCTTGTAAGAAAGAACACTTTTGAATATCAACATTACTATTTTTTAAACATAGAGGTGTTGGAGTGGTTTGGCTTTGTAGAAAAGAACAATTGGGTGACCTTTGGGTCATATGTATGGGGTTCTCACTGACCGTTTCCTACTATGGTATAAAAAGAAGTAGAAAGACGAACTATGCTTCTCCAATCATTTCCACGCAAGACATATCATAGCCATCCCACATACTGCTATAAACATCATCATCTTGGTTGTCATGGATACAAGAGAAAACTGACATGCTGTGAGCACAGTTCTCAACTCTCTCCAACACATGTGCACCATCTTAAAAAAGATCTTTGATTAGTTGGTAGTATGTTAGAGTAAAGTGTGTCACTAACAAATACAGTAGAATCAGAAGCAGTCTAACAGCTGTGCTTCATCACATGTATATCAAACCAGCAGTTTTATTGCTGATTTTTAAGCTAACATTTGTGTATGATGAAAACAAACCAAGCTAACTTGGCCTTGATGAAAAGGTGACTCTAGTTTATTTTTAATAATCTGAAAAGAATAAAGTGAGATGATTCTTTTAGTCAGGATTTCCTGAATTGTAGTTTGAATTCCCACCTTGAGGTTGGTGTGCATGGCTGACTCCGGAGGGTAAACGATAAAGTGGCGTAGGGTGAAACCAAAACCCTGGGAGTTCTTGTGGAGAACCAGCGTCCGAGGACCCTTCCAGCCCATGCCGACCCCCTCCCTTCCCGGCCGGGTCGCCATCGGCGGCCGAGGGTTGTCACTGGTTGAGCAGAGACCATCTCTGCGCCCCTTAGCCTGGAAACAAAAAGACTGGAATTTAGATATAAGGCAAATCCACTGATCATTTTAGGAACTGTATGTGTGTGTGTGTGTTGTTCAAATATGTTTCACAGAAGAAGAGACTTTAGAGTTTGTGAGTAATATGAACTCACAGCTGAGAGTTAAGGCTGATTTCCAACCCACTCTCTAAATATCTCAATCCCACTGCAGAGTAAATACGCACGGCCAGCTCAGCCGACGGAAACGCGTGAGAACTATCACCTTGGTGATGCCTCAACAGTCCACGTCTGTCAGTCAAACACGGTCACCTGGCCAAACAAGCATGCACCACTAGGGGGAGGAGAAACCTCTATGTTCGCTCAGATGTCAGGTATACCAGGGTAGAACTATCATGTGCCACACGTTCAGTATCATAATTTTTCTGCAGTCAACAGAACCCAAAAGAAAAGATCAGATCATATACTGTACATGGATGACGGAGTGTCAGGACTGTAGTCCTTTATACACAGTTTTATTGTGGTACATCACTTTAATCTCATGAATAATTCCACAAATAAAAATACACAGCATTAGGCCCAGTTTAATATGACTAAAGAATGTAAATGTTTTAGTCAATGCAATGCAAATCTACCAACATTTGTATAACGTCAACAATGAACAGCATCCTACATGGAAAGTCATGATATCTTTTGCTCTATCTTTTCCATTTGGGCTTTCCAAAGGTTAACAACATGAGTCATGAGAACCTCATGAATTGTGATGGAGGGACACACAGGGATATTTTGAGAGGAATTTGTCCGAAGCTCTGCGGAGGTCATGTCTAGACTTTAAATCCAACGAGATGACTCCATGTTTCACTTCCTTCTGCACACAAACACACACACTTGACCTGGCGGGCTCAAACATGGCCACACAACAAGAGGAAGTGGAGAACTGATGGCAGGAAGTGGGTTAATGTTGTGGAGAGAAATAAACCAGAAGCTCATATAAAAATAAACACACTTCAACCCCTTCCCTCACTTTCTCCTTCCTCCATGTTCTACTAATCTGACTTTCACTGCTGTTGTATCTCCTTTGTTGTTTGTAAGGTTAAGTGAAAGAACACATGGGTAAGTACGTTTCTCTTCTTAAACTTAATGCATACAAGACAGAGAATTTGGTTTGGCATCACATTTTTACCAAGTCTGTTTGTTTGCAAAGGCAACAAAAGCTCATTATAGTAAAGAATGAAGAGAGCATTGTGCAGACTGGGATGCATAAATCTACATGACACTCACAGCCTAATCTTAAGTCTGACAGTGTAAACAATGTCAAGTGATCCTGTTGTGTTAAAGCGCCAGCAAAGAAGGAGAGAAGAGGTGTGTCAAATTAAAACAATAAAGAAGAAAAGGTTGACAAGAGAGCAGGGAATTATATGGAAATGAAAAAGCAAAGAGCGTGAGTGGAGGAAGAGATGGGGCAAATTCCTCTGAGGGAGCGGTTTGGCCTGGACAAGTTGAAACACAGACACTGTAACTGGCAGAGGAGGGAGCAAGGAGAGAGTGAATGAGAGGAGAAGGATGAGGAGGACCAAGAGGAGGAGTATCAGGCCCCAGTGAAAGACAGGCTCCAGCACGCCGGTTTCGACCACATGACCCCTCCCAGCGCTGGGAATACCAAAACCTGTGATTACCCAAAACACACAGGGTCTGACTGGGTCCCTGAGCCAGCACTGTTTCCCACTCGGCCACTCAGGCCTGCGTGGGATGTGTGATTCTGCTGGGCTGTTCTGTCCGGTCAACATGAATCCAGAAAAATACCTCTGCTCTGTACGTCATCTCAAGGTTTAACCACTTTAGTTATCACCCAACGGCAGTAGAAGAAAGAAAGAATCCAAACCTGCTGACATGTTCTGGACTCTGGGGGAAGTTGGACAGTTTGACCAAAAAAAGACAGCTGGAAATTTTCCTGTGGTTTTCAGTCTAAACTTGACTTCCTGTCGAGGCTTTGAGACAGAGACAAGGGAAACCTCACTACCATTGTGCTGAAGAAGACGACCATGGTATTTCCTTCACTTAGTAGTGAGATTTTTTTTACAGTTAGGAGCAGTTTGAATGATAATGTGACGAGGCTGTAAAAGTATTCATTTAAATAACAAAGAGTAAATCTCATTTTGTAAGCAGAGAGCCCTGGGGAACCCTTCAACCACCTGAGGACGTCATTGTTCTCATGCAGAAGGCCTCGCTTAAATCGGTGATAGCCACGCATCACCCGAAAAAGGAGTAAGTGTCTGATACCTTGTCTCTAAACATGTCAGTCCTAGTCTTTTCAAATAAGAATCTTTGCATCCTGACTTCTGCCACCTGGAGATGAATTATCACCTTTATAGATGAAGCCAACAGTAAACTCAGGAGGCCCAGTTCCCCAACCCTAGCAGGATTAAATCAGGAGAAGAATCTGGATATAATGACAAAAAAATACTACCATATGACCATAATGTAGTCATAATCATCAGTGATAGTATGCATGTAAGTCCATGCGCACTCTTCCCTGTCCAGGGGTAACGCAGTACGGAGGAATGCATTGCCGGCTCCAGAACAATAACGCTGTTTTAAACAGCTGAGAGCTGCAACCTGTTTGAAAAGTGCAGCTTTGCTGTCATTACAAATGCTGACCCTCCTTTAATCCTGACAGCCGTATCTGTCTGCCTATAGTATCCTGGTCCCTGCCGTGAACTGAGCCGAGCAGCAAAGGCGTCTAAAGGATCAAATCCTTGTAGAAAAGGAACTCACCGGCCACACGGACAGAGTGCTCCACCACCTACGCGGTTCTAAGTGCATCCTATGTTGTAGTCCATAGTTTGATGATCTATGAATCCCTCAGCTGTTCTCTCCACGCAGGAAAGACTTTCTGAATGCTGAAGATTTCCAATGAAGAACACAGCAGAGTCAACGCTGGATCCCTGTGTCATTTACATAACAAAATATTAAAATCACAATGAACTCTAATGTGTCCGTGTGTGTGTGTTTGCACACACTTCTGTCAATATCAATATATCATGTGTGCTCAAAAACCAGTCCAACCCCTTTGTCAGTTTAAGTAGGCCAGCAGGTGAATATTATGATGATGATGATAATGAAGACGATGATGTAATACTGGTCAAACAGGGTTTTCCACTCAACGGTTAAACACGGTGCTTGTCAACATTGTACCAAAACCTGCCTCACTGCCACACACGCCAAGACAGCATAAGAAATGTGAAGAACTTTTCGACTTAAATCCCTGTTCTTCTTTGAGGAGAAGATGCAGTTTTTGAATAGCTTTTACAGGATGATTGGTAGCTCAGTGGGCAGAGACACACAGTCCATGACGTGGTTTCAGTCTGGCTGGGTACTTTTTATCCTCAGAGTGCCACAGAAATGCCTGGCAAATGATGGCTTACGTTTCAACATAGGCGGTTGTGAAAAGCCTTTCTGCTTTTTCATTCTTAGACATAAATTAAGTTGTTTCAGGTATTTTAGGAACTGTGAGGTTTTTTTCTGCTTGTGAAAACTTTTGAATATTGTTTAGCTTCTAAATGGCAATATTACATGTTAAACATTCCAGTGATGTAACAGAGAAAGGGTATGATGCACAGCTGTGAGCTGGTAAATGTGGGCAAGTGCCAACATGGAGAAAACAGCCTGATAGAAGATGACAAGGACTGTATGTTTCCTCCTTACTGTCAATGACATAATCAGAATACTCTACAGTTAGGATGTTTACATGAAGTGAGAGAAAACAGAACACCTCAAATAGTTCTAACTCCGTACACCTGTAGATTGAATTGGTCTGAAATAAACTCTAAAATGACACCATGACCACAAATATTTTCTATCAAATCTATCCATTAATACACACGTCAGTATCAGTAATTACTAAAAGCTTATGATTTTTTAAGATTCCTACTCCAGAATCCAGGCACATTTAGGGAGTACAATGTTCATAAACAGGATAGCTTTCCACATTACCAGTAACCAGAGCAGTTTTGCTGCAAAGTATTTGCATTTGTTTTGTACCACATAGCATTACTTGTGCTGGTTACGTGTGTAATTAGGTTGTAATCCAAAATACCACCTGTGGCAAATGAAATGCAGCCACATTTGTGAGGGTTATGTAACAATTTGCGAAAACAATGATAGGTATTGTGTAAGTATTGTAGCTGGTTATCACCTTTTAATATCCAACAGCGTTCTTATGCTGGTTACTTTGAAAAACTTGTCTATTACAGCTGAAGCTAGTTAGCTTTTCCTTCTAACTTACTGCTCTTCACAGGTGTAAAATAAATGGTACTATACAAACAGGCAGAAAAAGGCATGTTGGCCGTTCCACTGTTTCAAATCAACTGACTCCCTCCTGTCTGTCTACTGGGATATTGTTTATTTGTTTGTTTCAGCTGTGTCCATTCAGCCATCCACCGCCTCCTTCCCCCACTCTCCCGTACCTGATAGTTACGTCTGTTTTAACTGTGAGTTTAGGGAGCTGGTAGAGGTACCAAACATTTTGGCTAAAGTGTTTAATCAGACAGTACTGACAAAGGAAATATTACAACATTAAATTGATTAAACTGTCTGTACTTAAATACTGCTTTTTTAAGATCACCATGGCATTCATTCATCCACAACCATTCAATCACATACTTTTTCTATCACTAATTTTATTTGAGCCATGTGCTCATTTAGTGTCTTTCTCAGGAACACATCAGCACGTTGACTAGCAAAAACAGGAGATCACTCCTCTAACATTCCACTTGGTTTACTGACATCCGGTAACACTTACACTGTGACATTATGCTTTGCGATGATCACTAACCTGTTAACACACCTCTGTTTAACCAATGAAACAAAAGTCAAAACACTAAAGGTTAAATGCATCTACCATCAGCAGAATAATCGAGTATGTCAAGAGACAATAGTCTGAGATTAGGGCGATAAAAACAGCCATCAGCACAAAATAACCACTGTGTGATTGCAGGAAATTTAATCCTGCGTGCGGCAAAACAGAAACAGCCTGAAGGCAAAGCAACTGACACAGGGAAAGGTTCAAGGAACTGTCAACAGCGGAGTGGTGAGCACACTTCAAACAATAGTTACTGGTACAAGTACACCTCGTCTGACTAATAATCCAAACTGTCTGAGGGGGGTTGGTGCTGCTGCCTGTTCTGGAGGGAAATATACAGAAAACAGAGAAATCACAAACATCCACTACATGTGCTTTTTAAAGGCCTTTAGCTGAGATGATTTAGAAGATGGTTCTTTTAGCAAACTCGCTGCAACATTTGTAGATCTGGGAAAGTGCACTGATCCACCGACATCACTTAGTGTCAACATACAGGAGAATTTAGCTGAGAATTTCACCAGTGTCAATGCAACCTGTTAGCTCCTCTAGCCAGACAGCACTTGTGAGTCATTCACTTTCACTAGGCAACTTTCAAGAACTCCAAATTGGTGGAGCACCATGAGAGTGCTCACTTTTAACCAGGCTAGTATAGTGTAAGTCAACTTTAGTTATCCTTTAAGGAGTTTACTTTTAAAGACATTTTGGCTTCAACTAACTTGAAACTTCAAATGTTTGCTTTCACACATCTGGTCTAATTGGTAGAAATTCTTCAGCTATACTGGCTTGCTTTAGCCCTCATCAAATTCAACTGCTTTTGGCCATTTTAAAATATTTCTATTGAAAAATATTAAGCCAGGGATAATTCTTAATTATTTTCTGTCATCCTTTTTCTTTGCCAATTTTAGGCTCTTTTAAATAATTCTTAACTATTTCAAATTCCAGTTCAATATCTTTTCTAGACTAGACAATATTTTTGTATTTCCTTCTTATTTGCTTATTAACTCATGCTATTAAAATCTATGCTGTCAGAAAATACATTTTTTGACAGAAAACATTATTGTAATATTGATCTAAAAAATAGAGAAATCTAATAAAAATAATGATAATAATGATAATTTGAACTTTATTGATCCGTTATTTGGGAAATTCTTGTGTTAAATCAAAAGCTACTGTTAACAGGCTGCCCCTCTGGGAATCAAACCCAGGACTCTCTACTCTCGAGGCAGGCGTGCTAAGTGCTACACTATGGAACTGACAAAAAATATAATACACAATAATATATAAATAATAATACACAATAATAATAAAAACAGTCTATACACTGTATGTGTGCTACTTCAAACTACTCCAGTACTAATAATGTAATTGATCAAAATGATGCTTCACGTCAGGTCACGACCCGCCTCCAGATAAAGTTCAGCCACTTCTCCTTACCCTGATCTGAAGGGAGCTCCTCTTGAGCTCAGTGGGAATGTCGGACGGCGGTGATGGTGGTGCCACGGGGCTAGTGGCGCCACGCAGCACCGCCACCCAGATGCATCGTGGTTCGGGGGAGCTGCAGTCCACACCCACCGGGTTCTGGAAGCTCCAGTTTGACCCGACCGGCGTAGGGCAGCGGACCATAGCAGCAGGCATTGGAGCACAGAGTTTTCTCAGATCAGCATCCTTCACAGACCACATGGACTGCTCACGTCACACCCAGGAAAGTACAAAAGATCGTAGCTGAAGTACAGCGAAGTAAAAGTCCAAGTCCTCCTCTGTGTTCCTCAGGTCATTGACTCACAAGTCAGTGCTATCCGTCTCATGGTTCCAGTCCCTGGAGCCTCTGGAAAGATTAATCCCACAAAGTTCCACATCACAGCTCCTGATCTTTAGGAATCAGCTCTAACACACACACACGCTGACACACTCAGAGGGCAGACTCCTGAGCAGCAGATGGAGGAGTGTGTGTGGCTCTGTGATCAGAGGTAGGTCTGGTTTCACTACAGACACACACACAGTACAAATGACAGCCGTCCTCTCAGTGGTGTCTAGTGATGTTCTGCTTTCAGGACCACTCTGTCCATCCCATAACTGTCCCAGAGGGCTGGCTCTACTGTCTCTCCTCCCTCTCTCTCTCTCTCTCTTTCTTTCCACCCTCCCTGAATCACACAGATTGTCTTATCTCACTTCTATCTCAGCCCTCCTTCACTCTTCTTCCCCTACTCTTTTTTCTTTCATCTATTTTGTTAACACTCCAACAGCAAACACCTCCTGCTGTACTGCTGTCCAATCCAAAAGTCCTGGAAAAAAATCACTGGGTCCAGATGTTAGGATCTGATCCACTAAGATATCGATAACTCCTGAAGGTTTTCTGCTGTTAAGGCCTTCCTCTGTTTCTGAGGAGGCAGCCTCTGTTGCCTGCACATGTGCTGCATGTGTGTGTGAGTGCCACAAACACACAGTGACAAAGCCATGATCCCAGTGATAGACTCCACAAAAGCCGGCGCTGCCTCTGCCGTCCCCACCTCCAGTCAGCGGGGGAGGCAAACAACAGAAAAAAAGAGAAGAGGAGAAAGAGGCTGATTACCAGCACAAAAGGAAAAAGAAAACATTTGCCTGGCTGCTATGTTGGCTGTTGGCTCTACTTCCTTTCCTTTTTGTTTTCTTCAATACAACATAGAAGGAAAGGTCATAAAAAGAGGATGACACGAAGAAGAAAGACAGAAGGATATGTTCCAGGGGAACTTTCCCCCTGTGAATGATGACATAAATGCGTGAAATATGCTTTAATTTTCAAATATTTGACTACTTTAAAAAATTGTACAAAAAATATGTATATTTATTTTGACTTTAATATTGGTATTTGTTCTCAGAATGTTCTTTTCTCTTTCTCTTTTTCTTCCAGGGAATTTTCAACTTTTGAAAACAAAGTTCCATTTCGTTCTAACTCTGCTCTGCAGAGGGCAAAGGGTCTTCCCAAAATAAAACTACTGACTGTCACCATGACCTCTGTGTTAAACTCTACTCCCTCTCTCAGTCTCTCAGTCACACACTGTCATGTTTGCAGTTACACCAAACCACTACAGCTCTAAATCAGGTGACCTGTCACTCAGGCAGAAGAGTTCTCACCAAACAGCCAGGTGTCCACGATATGTGCGAGAGCAGCAGACAGGTGACCATGTTGTTGTTACAGTCGGGTGGTGACGGCTACTACCTTTGACACTACTCAGTGTTAAACAGTCGCAGATCCGTTAACAGCAGACAGCGGTGAGGTCGGACAGGTTTCACCTGCTGCACCGGCGGGCAAGTACCAACACGACCGAGAGACGGCCATCAGCCTCACAGACTGTACCCTCTGGATATGCTGTCGTTTGTCTACTACAACACACAGTCACACACACTGTAGACCACAGACTAGACTGTGACATAAAAAAGATTGATTTATGACCCAAGACTCATTTGTCTCTTTTTTCTTTAAAGAAACGCAGCACAATAAAGTTGTCCACATGCCACTGTTTCTCATACAAAATACATTTGGTTGTGTTAATGACAACGTCTAGATTGATTATTTACCAAAAAGAACCCAGTAGGTGGCAGTAATGCAACTCACAAGAGTCAGCTCTGTCTGTATAGCATTACAAAGCTAAAGGTGTTCGAAGGGTTAGCTTAGCTTAGCCTTAGGAAAGACTGGCTATTAAAATAAAACAATGTGCTTATACATCACTAATAACATACGTGCTATCGCTTTACAAACATTCTGCTAATATGCTGCATACTAGCACACTTTCAACGTGTTGAATTAACAGATGATGCAAGTCTTCTGCTCTCCGCGCTCCGTGGCATGTAGCATGTACGTGTTTGACAGTCATCTGGGTGTCTAATGCATCATGAAAATAAAAGAAACAGTTTTTATCATAATGCACGTTTAGCAGAACGAACAAAACTACAACAACGATGTTATGACGCGATGATGTTCTGTTTAACTAATACTGTACATTTAATGCTGGTCAATTCCATCTGCTCACAAAAAAAAATCGCAACAAAAAATATATTTAAAAAATTCTTACCATACTGGCTCACACAGATACACGTACACACACACCCACACACTCACACGCCACATGTCCTACTGAGTCACAGTTGATATAAATACACCAGCCTATATAATTTGGGTTGTTCATAAAATCAAAAGACTGTGGCTGCAGGGGTTGGGGGGGGGGTTCTCTTCTCTTCTCTTCTTTCTGTGGCTCAGACCAGAGCTCTGGATTTTTGCAACCACCCTAGAAAACGAATGGATCACCGTAGGAGGAGGAGGAGAAGGTCTAGTTCTTCACCAGTAAATGTGAAAGAAAAACCACACCTATGTGAGAAAGCCATTGGCATTCAGTAGGATGACAGCACACCAACTGGGTCAATAATATCAGATAAATAAGGATTTTAATTAGGCAGCAGTGACTGAGGTTTGAATGATAGAAATCAGTAAAAGGAACAAAAACATAAGCAGGACTCAGAACTAGGTTGGTCATTCTGGGACTTTTTTTCAATCTCAAAATAGCTTCGGTGTCAGTGGAAGGACTAATAGGGAGAACAGGGCGGAATTTTCAGACCAGATCTTCCGAACTGGTCAGAAAAAAAACTCAACAGCATTACATTTAAGCAGCCACATCAAAAATTATGGTTGCAAACATAAAACCTAAAATAAAACAAAGCTAAATGAAATAAATAAACTAAAACTAAATAAAAAAAACAGTGATAAATCTTTCAGGAAAATAAAGCCCAAATAGATTTATGGTAAAATAAAAAAAATAAAACTGCATGAAGTGGGCATGCAATACAAGTTTCCAAGGGAAAAAAAAAGAAGCGACAATTTTAGGAATAGGAGGTTTCTGTGTTTCCATCTCTCTCCGTTTCCCCTTTCCTCAGACGATTAAGCATTAAAAAAAAAAAAAAAAAAAAAAGAGAGAGGAGTGTGAGCATGAAGAAGAACAAAGGCGAGGAGGTTTGTAAAGAAAAACGCAAGTGAACAAAAACAGGCATTAAGTTACAGTTTACATCTCAGACAAACAGTCACACATGAGGAGCTGTGACAATAGCACACACCTCCAGTCAGTGACCCACAGAGCTGCTGGTGTTTGTCTGAGGCGTGTCCCAGCAGGCAGGCCGCCATACAGCCATGTGGGTCGAACGTACAGGTCTAATGAGTACAGCATACCTCTCTTATCAGACCTGAGAACTGTCTGAGTGCTGAGTAAACACAGAACCCCAGAGAAGACAGAGATGCTGGAAATTAGCATTGTTTTATGATCCATCATAACCTGACACCAACCAGCTCTTGGAGTAGGAGGGAAACCAAAGGCCGACACGCGCTGCTAATCTCCCAGGGACCATGGCTTGTTGCCTCCTGTCCATCCTACACCTCTGATAACAAACAGAACTAAAAAGTCGATGGGGGAGAAAGGGAGGTGATGCAGAATAAACCTAGCGTGACTGTCAGTGTAACGTCTCACACTACCACAGAACTGCACATTCCCACACAGGAAAATTCCCCATTTTTCCACTGTTATTCCTGGGAATGTTACAGTACAATACGGAGCTGTAAGGACAGAGCAGCTTCAGACTGATGACAAACAAACAAGGATACAAACACATTGATGTGCAGTGTTATTTTCCTCTCTCTAAAACCACTAAGTGCAACATCGTGGAAAATGCCAGGATAGAATTTGTAAAGAATTTGTAGGGTTTAAAAAAAACACCTCAAAAGTGATCTAAAAGCCACCAAGTCTGACATGTGGCAAATGTAACCACACTCCAGTTCAATTCTAGGTGTCTTGTATTTATGATTGTAACAGTTAATGAGATAGATTTGTGATAATACACAGTGTATTCTTAAACTTGTTGTGTTTATACGGTTTAACTGTAACCATAAGGTGTTTCTACATTAAGACATGTGTCCTCACTCCGTGCTAACAGCTTGGAAATTCCTCAACGTCACCATCAGAGTGTGTGAGTCCTGTCCCCTGCTGGTACCACAAGTACTGCACAGTACTCACAGAAAAGGTTCAAATGTTTTGCGAGTTTTGTAAGTTTTCACATGAGGCAACAGCGGCCACTGATACTGATGCCGTCACACTTGGCTGCTGAATGTGAAAAAGAAATACAACATGGGCCAGAAAATATCCACAGCAGAAAAATGCACACGTGTCAGAGGCAATGTGAAATGGCTGGAATGGAGTAAAAACAGACTTTTGACTCTTTCCTTTTGTTGTAAAAGGCTACAATAAACATATTAAAATGGTCTGCATGGGGGAAATAATGCCCTTTTGTAATTGTTTCCAAATGACCATGTGTTGCAAAATACAAAACAAGAGAGTGAAAATGAGTCGTTGTGAAGCATCTGCTTTACAGAGAAGTAAAGCTTCTCAGTTTAAAATACCTTTTTAAGCCTAGGAAACTGATGCGGTTCCGACAATTACACATAAGAATCTTGACATTGACGAAAAGCTCCGATGCACAGTCAGTCTCCTCGTCTAGACCAGACATTAGCAGTAATTTGTCAAAGTGGATTCGGCAAAAGCATGAGGCTGGGTATAAAAAGGATGCAGCTGTTTTAAGCAGGTTAATTTTAACTTTAATCTCCAGTTAATCCCCCACGCCTCATTTACTTGCAGGTCTTTTTGACAGCACTGGAGCTGTAGTTTTCACCCTGCATCCACAGGAGGGCAGCAGTAACACAACGTGAGAAGCAAAAAGGGTGGAGTGCAACACAGAGGGCACTGGGACACAGGCCATGGAGTGAAGGGTGGAGACTGTTAGCTGCAGCAACAGCGTGTAGGCTGTGGCTCTGCACTTTTCTAATGCAGTCGCTGGCACAATGTGGACAGGCTGAGTGAGTGCAACGGTGCTCTGCCGTAAGCTGTTCTCTCTGCAGTTAATGGAGAACATCAGAGTCAGGGTGGGGGTGTAGGACTGAAAGAGGGGGTCAGAGAGGTCACACCTGTCATGGGCTTTGAGGTGGAAGAAGTCTGGAGAAGTACAGAGACCAAAGCAGGAGCAGGCAGAGAGGAGTCAGACGATTACTTCAAGCCACAGCTGATGAAGCCGGGTGGTCAAACTACCTCTACCTGACAGAGCAACGTGGGAAACCTCCACAGTGAAGCACGTCTCAATCCTGCAGAGCAGAGGATTAAATCACACTAACCTGACCACGTGCTGCTCTGGGAGAAAGTAATGCATTATGCATGCATTCTTTGCATGTGCCTACTAATGTGTGTGTGTTGCATTGCAACCACATGAGGTCAGACCATGTGAGATGTTTCAACATGGAAACACTTAGCTGACCCAAACATTTGGAAACATGTTGACTTTCCTTTCTGGTACAGATTACAGTCCATTCAACAACAACACATTCCTCTTACATTTTTCTACTAAATTTATCTACAGCTATCTTGTTATTTTTTTGGATCAATAACATGACTAGGGAGGTGACAACGGCAGTCTTACACACTTCCCATAAAAACAAGGTGCCATCTTTGAATACCTTCATCTACTGTAATGTTGCTTTGTGGTCTGCAGCCAGACCCTGCTGACCCTAGACCCCCGACTGGGTACAGTACGACCTGCACAGTTCACCAGTTCATCAGCAGCAGTAGTTTAAAAACAATAGGAAAAGATTAGCATGAAACACGCTAACCAAAGCTAAACTTTCAGTGGACACGGTGAACCTGTCACAGTGCTGTATACTGACGGGCTGTGTTGCCTGTCCAACAGGCAGCAGAGAAAGTTAACAACACAATTTGGATATTTTACAGAAAAATGTTATTGGCTGACTCCTGATATTGGATGCTACATGAGCCACAGGGGGATGTGGGATACATGAGTCAGCCTGCAGCATCAGGCCAGGCTA